AAGCCAATTGTCCTTCTCCTTCTCCATCATCTTTGTTTACTATCACTGGCAACCCCATAATGGCAAAACGGTAGAAAATCATCTTCACACATCCCCCACCATATCATTCCCTCCTCCCCCTCCCCACCACCCTGCCCCTCCTCCCCCACCTTCATGTCCTTTCAACCAGCTACTTACAAGAATAGCGGTGATTGATCACGACCTTCACCATATAATGTCTACGCCCTCAATAACAAGATCAACCTAATACTCAATGACAAACACATTGAGTATGACAACATCAATGACCCCTTTGCTGCCTTCTCCTCCTCATCTAATGAAGAAGCCTCCTCCTTGCCGGGCAAAAGAAATATTCAGTCATCAAAAGAACTATCTAGTCTTAGAAAGTTAATTAAAAAAAAAAAAGGTTAACTTCTTAAGCCATGGTCTAAGAAGTGGACCCATTTTTTATTTAAATTTTCAAAGGTTACATTGATTGGTACAATAACCACTATTAAAATTATAGTTTTCTACATCGTTTTTATAATTAGTGTATAAGGTGCAGACTTTTAACACCACCCATTGCTATATTGGCTGTCTTTTTGATGTCAAATACACATCCTAACTGGTGTAAAAGACCTCTTTTCTAGTAGTGAAAGGATTAAGGCATACCAAACACCCTAAATGATTTTATGAGATACATTCAGAATCCTAAAATATTTAGTAGTACAATTTTATTATTAATATATTAAAACTAGAATACGTCTGCCCCTAAGTTAGGTTTGTCTTTAACATCGTTTTCTCTTGAATCCATTGCAGTTGTTGATTGCTTCTTGCCAGCTAAGTACGCTCCTCAACATCACTTTTGTTCATTCTTGAAAGCTCCTCGTTTTATTTATCTTCTCCAGATCAATCGAAGCCATGTTCAAATTTTAAGACACAATAAATAAATTAATTTTTTGAAAATTATGGTGAGGTGATTCTAAGTAACTTATAATAGGAGCAGGAGGCAATAAATAAACCTGAACTCTTGTTGAGTCTTGTGTATAACAAAAGAAAAAGAATTTTTTTTCCTAAATACAAGTATTTTCTTATTAGAGATAATAATATTTAAAGTATTATTAAGTACTAAATATATACACATCTCCCAACAAAAATTTAAATTTTAGTATACTATATTGTAAGAAACTAACATTTTTTTGCTGCTAGACCCAACCCACCTCGTTTTGTAATTAAAAAAAAATGCTAATTTGAATGACTGGACAATCGAGTAATTGTCAGGTTTTCAAACAATGCCACTTTATTTTTCTGAGGCCCACTTGAAAGGAAAGGAAAGGAAAGAAAACAGACGAAGAGAAGAGACGATAGATGGGGGTGAAGGTGAAAGCAGAAAACAATAATTCCTCTGTATAAAAAAAAAACAATAATTCGCGGGAGTTGCGTCCACCGGCCTCACTAACTTCAATGCAAAGATGAAATGACATTGAAAGGAAATTAAATGATATGACTTTGACGTTTCAGATTCTCATTGTCAGATCCAGCCATTCATTCAGTCAGAAGCAGCATGCAGCCTTCCCGCTGCAATGTTGCTTGTTTTCACTCCCACCAGATTCCGAAAAGCCTAACCTGACGGCCTGGAAACCAAACCCCGTTTCGTTTCTTTGGAAATCATTTTTTTTTTAATAGTAATTTACTCCCTCCGTTTTTTATTATAAGAGACAAATAGCTTAATTACGATTATAAAAAAGTAGTTAAAATTAGTTAAGAATAATTAATGTGTAAAAAATATAATTTTTTTTCTAAAAATACCCTCATTAATAAAGAGAGAGCATGAGAGAACAATTAAATTATTGAAAAAAAGAGAAGTGGGAGAGAGAGAGTGTGTGAGTTGGAGACAATAAATATGGATAAAATAAGAAATCAATACAAAAAATAGAGACAACTTTTAAGTGTCTTCTATATATCGGAACATGCCATAAGCATCAAATGTCTCTTATAATAAGGAACGGAGGGAGTATAAGATATGAAGTTTTTATCTTGAATTATGTGAATAAGTATTTTGGAATTTCAATTATACTACTCTGTTTTTTATTATAAATTACTTATATCCCAAACCTGCAAACCGACAAATACATTAAATTAACTAGTTTTTTCTCATTTACCCGATATGAAGAGGGAGAGAGAGGGATGTGTTTTGAGGAGCCATTACTTCATACTTAAATTAATTAATTTTTTTATTAAATTAATAGGTATAAAATTGAAAAAAGATCATTAATTATACTACAAGTGACTTACATTTTAAAACAAACTTTTAGAGTACAAGTAACCCATAATAAGAAACAGAGTGATAATCACAAACAATCACTTTAAGTGTTAAGTGTCCAGGTTGCATATATATAAATTGCTCTTTCTTATCCTCTTTGAATATTGGATTTAAAATATGTTGGTATTGAAATTTCAAATATTAATAAAAACTCTTAAAGTAATATATTAAATTTAATTTTGAAAAGTAGTAACAATAGTTGATGCAAATATATATATATTTAATAGTAGTAATAATATTAGGTTTAAATGGCTGAGAAAAGATTAGGGAGAATTTCACAAAAAAAAAAACCTGAAATTATTAAATTTCAAATTAATTTTGGTAACAATACTTTTATAGGTTTTGATAATACTGAATGACAAAATATTTTTGTAAAAATATATTTAAGAGTAATAATATTAGGTTTACATGGCTGAAAAAGTACTATATAAAATTGTAGTACAAAACTGAAATTTTTATAAAGTTGAATTTTTCGGCCAACTATATGAAATTAAAGGATTAAAAACATATGTTTACTGCTTTTTTAAATGCTACTACATTTATTTACGTTACTAAATCTCACTTTTGTAGCAGTGTTAATGGACATAAGATTAAGGGAGAATTTTATAAAAAGAAGTTTCAAATTACTAAATGCCAAATAAATAATTTTTAAAAAATGTATTGTTATTTACAAATTTAATATTGTCAAAACCTATTAAAATGTTGTTATCAAAACTAATTTGAAATATAGTGATTTCAAGCTTCTTTTTGTGGATTCTTCCTAAAGTTAATAGTATTTCTCAGCTTCTATTTATAGGTAAAAAATAATAAGTTTTTTTTGCCCTGCACTAAATTTTGGAAAAAATAATATCAAGCACCGTGATGTTATTTCTCATGTGCATTTAGTACTCTAATCTTATTTATGGTGCACTCAACACTCCTTAATATTATTTTTCAATTACATTCAGTACCCTAATTTTATTTATATTTCAAGGTGTGGGATGCCTTATAAATAAAATTAAGATACTAAAAGCACTAGAAAAATAACATTAAGGTATTGGATGTAACTGAAAAATAATATTAAGGTGTAAATGCTACGTTACCCTTAAAGTTTTTTACATGAATATATAATTTTATTCTTTATTTATCATAATGTAAATTGTTATTTTTCTTGAAAAGTATATTTATTATACATGGATAAAGTCAATAATTTATTAAATTTTACAGTATAATTAATAATATTTAAGATTTTTAATTTTAATAAAATATGTTCAGAGTGACTTATAAATAAAAAATTAGTAGTACGTGTAAAGTGTGACAAAGCAACTTGCAAATTTATTGCTCCATGTTTATTCCTTTCATGGAGATCCATGGGATGGTGAGACTTATGGGGTATGCCATTATGGCACAATGGTGGTCCAGAAATTCCTTTTCACTAAAGGTTGTACTTTAAATTATAAGGCTTTTTTTTTTGGGGGGGGGGATTGCTTGTGATGTATAATATGACCGACTCTCATTAAATTTTATATTACATGTTACTGGCAAAAGTTTTTTTTATATTGCTGTTGATTTTACGTACCAATATACTCTTCTCGGCCAATTCAGACTATAATTTAGACTATGGAAAATGCTAGAAAGGAATTCCTAATATGATCACGTTTGGTATGTTTGAATCAAAATTCCATCAAATAAATGGAACTCTCTTTCACTAATGCAGCCAAGGAATATAATTCTGTCAATTCTAGGGGAAAGAAGTTAAATGTATGCGGACGTTTTTGCCTGATATATGTTTAACATGGAGAATAAGAGCCGCAATAGGTATTACTTCTGTCCAGTATGGTCCTATTTATAAGTTTTAAATTTGAAGAGGGTATGATCTATTTTTATAAATTTCAATTTGGGTTAGTGTATGATAAAACGGAATGAAAGAAAATGTGATGAGAGAGGATAAATAATAGAGAAAGAAATTATATTTCTTGGATATTTATTGTTTAAAAATAATTTTAAGCTAATTCTTCATTATCTGGAAACTTATAATAACAATCAAAAGGAATATTGACCAATCCCCCCCCCCTCATTTAATGAATCACTTTTACCTTTTCGTGTTGAATATTAATTTTATAAACATGGTCATCATGGAGTTTGACCCCAAAATTTAGGATGAATAAATAATTATAGATGATGTGCAGTGTACAATATTTCAGTTTTACCTATCATAGAGGTTTTATATGAATGTAGAAGCTGTTAATAACCTTTTACATATATATATATATATATATATAGGTTTTCTTTTTTTTGGCCAAAGAACTGCTTATAGAGTCAATGGCGAAATTTTCATTAATGAAACTTGAGGATTACTTTCTAAAAGCTAATTCACGGATAATAAAAGAATCAGATAAATTTGTTATTTTTAAAGAGTGTGTGTTAAGTTTTCTAAAATAACTCTCCTTGTAATCATTTACATTGGAAGGTTACTAATATAACTTTTACATCATATAAGAATAAGATTGAGATCTTATATTTATGAATAAAACAAACTCTTGATTAATTCTTATATTTATGATTTGATAGCGAGTATTCATTACAGAGTTTATTAACTTAAGCCAATGTGGAACTATGTGTGTGTGTGTGTGTGTGTGAGAGAGAGAGAGAGAGAGAGAGAGAGAGAGAGAGGTTTAAGTGAGTCACTATCTCATCTAGCAAGAAGATGAACTCGAGATTGAAAATGAAAAAGCAGCATCATTAATTACTTCAATTTATGCCAAGACATTAAACCGATCGACCTAGTACTAAGGGATTACAGTACAAGTATATTGACGAAGAAAAATAACTAACTGCCCTTTTAAACACAACCAAAGTTAGAACATTGTTTGTTTGACAGACTCAAATGATGAAGATTAGAACCACTCTTTGTTCAAATATGTAATCCATAGCCCTTGACGTTAAATGCTTCCTCGCATTTCCTGAGCGCATCACTTCGGTTCCAGAAGAAGAAGAACCAAAAAAAAAAAAAGGCAAAAAGATTACATCAATTGTGCATTTTGTATCTATAAAATCAATATTGAATCTATATATACATGATCAACCAAAAAAAAAAATATATAAAAAATTATAACATTCGCAAACCATAAATAATAAGAAAAACCATGAAGATAATTTTCATGCGTTTGCAATTCCACATCACACGCTTGAGTTTCGCAAAACGATTTTCTTTACATGTCATATTTTAAATAAATAACACACACACATGTATAATATAATGGCAGAAATGTAAGAAACCATATAAGTTTAGTCATATGAATAAATAAAAAATGACAATTATATAGTTGGAATTTGGCATGCAAACTGTTCAAACAAATAAATTTACAATTGTGGGAAAATTCATGGATATACTTACATTCCCAATCCTAGCCTGATTATTGGCCTCCAGCATCAACCCGAAATGAATGTGAGGGAAATGTGCCCACTAATAATTAAAAGTGAAATAATCTCCAGATATTAGCAACCTCACAAAGCAAATACATAAATTAAAAGGAAGATATTAAATTAAAAACCAATATATATAATAGTAATATCTGTTAATTACATTCTTCGCAGCAGTGCTGAATGCTTCCCTGTGACTGATATCTGGGTTATTGACTTTGATCCTCTGAATCTCTTCTCTGCATACATAAACAGTGACAGTTCAATTGTATAATTGATGATTTTATAATTTATAATATAATCTGATACTTATTGAAATAAAATAATTAATTAGATTGTAATAACTAGTCATATTACTTTATGAACTGATTGTACGCAGAAGGTACGCGCTGCCTCTTCTCGGGAGCTGTAAAGGATAATAACAGCTCATCAGAAGATAATTAAGAGAAATGTAGTATATAACTATATACTTAATTCTTTTTTTTGGTCAAAGAACTATATACTTAATTCAGAAAGTAATTTATTGTAAATTACTCACGCCTAGGGGTCACAGCCTCAGTTGCAATACGTGTGGTAGGGGTTCGCATGGGAACCCTATTGTTGCTTCTGGAAGACGAACCAGTCTCGATTCTATACTCTGGATTGGATAACCCAGAAGCCTGAAAATCAAAATGTCATTAAATAAACAAAAAAAAATACCTTTAGTTAGTTTTTTGTACTTAGGAATTGAAGGCTCATTCCAATCTATTTTTCCTTTTGTTTACACTGCTTTTCAAGGTTTTAAGGTTTTGCTCAGATGATGATTTAGGGATGGGTCTCAGGAGGAAGAGAGAGAAAAAATGATCTCAAAGCATTTCATAACAATTAAATTTGTGTGTATTTCATATATAGGGTTTAAAATGTGTCAAAATTTATAATAATCTACCTATAATTTCACTTTTTTTAAGTTTGGTCCGTACTTAATATATCATATATTGACATTTTGCCCCCCAAGAAAAGTTAATGTGCTGTTATAAGAAGTGGGAAAGAAGTAGCAGCAGCTTCAAAGAACTGAAATATTGAAGCTTAGAATGCAACGTATCAGATATGGATGAGCCACATAAAACCCAGATGACAGTTGTTCAAATAAAGGGCTACGATCTGGGGATCTTGAAGAAAAGGAATCATTTTTTATTTGTTTTAAGCAAACTAGGAGTATCTGGGTAATACTATAATATGAGGTTTTACCCAAAGAATAAATATATAGATATCTATACACACACACATGGAGGGATATGAAGACGTTGAAACCTAAGAAGAACAAAGTTGGGCAGTCAAATCAAGTTTTAACGTTTTAACAAAGGAGACTAAAAATAACCTTACTTTGCCTGCCTTGAAGAGTTAGGACAGGTTCTGACTCCTCTATACTATAATCTGCAAACTTCAAAAAGCAAAAATAGGTGTGTCTTATGGCGGCTGCAGGTATGGCTACAACATTTAACAGCTAGGGTTTTCACTTTTCAGGTCCCCAAGTTCCCCACTTAGTACTCCATTTATTATTAATAGATTTTTATAGGTCATTTTACATGAAAAAATAAGTTATTAATTAAATTTTTTAGAGATAATACATTTAATTAGGAGAAACTGAAAAAAAAAATTATTTCATTTTTAAGTAATACTAGTGATTTAACCATTTTTCTTAACTCTAATGAATTAATAAAAGATGACTCTTTACATGTAGAATAAAACAACAGCAGGGAGTATATATGGTTTTAAAATTTTCAGAGATGCTTCGAGTCTCTCAATAATTAATTAAAGCCTACAGAAACAAACAAACAGAAGCTGCCTCTGCGTGTTAAAAGAGCATCGATTTGCTCAAAAGAATAACACTCAGAAACCCTAAGAACCTAAGGGTAGATATAGGACTCAGAAATAATCCCTAGACATGTATGTGTATATATATACTTGTATATATTCACTCTGTTATAGTTATATATATTATTTAGAGTGATTATTACTTATTAATTAGCAGCAGAAACAGGCCGCCCAAAAAATAAGCTGAGAAAACTCAAGTTACCTGAACTTCTTGCCATGACAGTGACTGAAATGCGGCTGCCATGTTCACGGACCATAGATTGGAGCAGTGACCACATCGGACGGTCACGATGTCACAAAGATTGCTGCACGGAACACTAACCTGCACAAATTACACCATATTATTATTATTATTATTCCATGGAGGCTTCTTTTTGCTCAGAAGAAAAGCTCAGGCAGTTAAAACGAAGGAACAATGATAGAAAAAAAGTCCAGATCTCATCATGATCATAGACAAAAAGAGAAGAGGTTATCATATATGCAGTTTGCTTTGGTTTGTCTACTTCAGACATTTAGGGAAGAAGAAAGAAAACCCTAAAATAGGAAGTTGCAGTATCCATCAAGTAGAAGAGATTAGCTGGGATCCTCTTAACATGAAGCAAAACACAAAGTAAACTGGTGAATCAGGAAGTGAAGAAATGAGCTATCAACATTAGTAATGCTTTGTTTTTGGTGTTTTTAAGTGAGCACTAAGTGATGTTACCCAAGAACAATAATTAACCCTACAAGCTAAGCTGCTCCTTCTTGATGATATTTTTTATGGGATTCAATTAATTAGCTGAGACACAGAAAGTTTGTGAGTATGTCTCTTTAGGTTTGAGCACTTGAGGGCTTTCGGGTGGGTTTATGACTTTTCTTTGACCGCAAAAGAAAAGTGAATAGAGAGAAAAGGAAAGACCAGCTATGGATTGAGACCGGACTGTAAGAAAACCGAGGAAGAAGCCCCCCCCCCCCCCCCCCAAGAAAAGAGAGAAATTGGAAACATTAGGAGATTTCACTCACAAAAACAGCACGCATATGGAGCTAATTCTAGGTTACTTTTCTGGATCTCCTAGGAGAAAAGAAGACGAAAGAAAGAAAGAAAACCCAAATAGGAAAAACTAAGAAAGCAGCACACTGTGTGCATATGTAAAACATATTAATCATTAGGGATTTTCTCTGAATTGAAAAATAAGACAGTCACCAGATGGATCAGCAACTGAAAGGAAAACAGATCTGAAACTGCATATATAGAAATCAGGGAAATATATATATATATATATATATATAGTTATATATATACCGCAAGAACAATGTTGCAAAATTTGCAGGGGATATAGCATAGTTGCTCAGAACCAACGTCCACGTTGCTGCTCGACATGTCTCTGCTAAACCTTGTTAATTGACTCAGAGAAGAAGGAAAGACGAAAATTGATTGAGATCAAACCAAGGAAAGAAGAAGAAGAAGAAAGCTAATAGATGTAGCTCTCAACAATTTGCCGAAAGCAAAAGCTTAACCCGGTTTATTCTCTTTCAGGACCCCTCAGATACCGGGCTATATATGTACAGTTAAACTTGCTCGATCGTCTTGTATATATAGAGAGAAACTCATAGCAGTAGACGAAAGCTTAGTAACAGGGTATTCTTTTGGGACCCAACGGGGTAAAGAGGGAAGGCGAGAGAGAGAGAGAGAGAAAGAGAATGGGAAGAAAAAGTAGCTTCAGACAGAAAAAAGCCGTTTTGATCTGGTATTGGAAAAATGTAGCGTACTGCACTAAAAATTACTTATTACTTATAAATTACATGTATAGCACGTAAATATACAATGATTTAATCCTAATTCATCTAGTTAGGTGTATTAATCACTGTACATTATGCGTGGGGTACAGATCGATATGTGCCTAGCTGAGCTTTTCTATATGAAGAGATAATAAGACGTGAAGATGGAGGTTCAGTGAGGTCTCATGGGAAGAATAGTTAGGGTTTCGAGGAAGAAAGTGTTTTGTTTGAGTTACCAAATATGTACAGATTGATGATACAGTAACATTTATTTTAAATTGAAACGTGAGAGTGACCACACAATCCTCAGTGACCTGCAACTTCAGCAGCGGACTAGTGGGGCGAAATTTTGTGTCTTTCATAAATAGCACCACCAGAGATTATAGTGTTTATAATTTAATTAAATTTGGGCAGCTTAAACGAAGTTAAATAAACTTCTCTTAAAAACTTTGATTAAACAAATTTTTTCGCTTTTAAAACTTTCCTTTTATTACAATGTGTATTGTGTATTTTGTAGTAAATCATTGATATTTTTTTTTCACTTTTTTCACACTAGCATATGGCTTTTTTAAATTTTGACCTACAAGTAGATAGATTATCACTAAATTTTAGGATCGATGCATAGTTACATCTTGCCGTTGTATTCTTAGTTAAATAACGTGCCAGTTAATAACGACATAAAAGTTATTTGCATAACTTCGAAATTTTGGACGAAAAATATATTTCAACTTTTAAATGTCATATACGTATTAGCACAAAATTTAAATTTCAAAATAGATATATAATTTTATCATTATTTAATTACTCAAACTGAAAGTATACTTACCACTAATTTCTAAGTAGCAACGTAAACTAACTACTCCTTTCGGTCCTAAGAGTAGGAGTTATATAGTTTACATATATTAAAAATTAGCTAAGTTAGTTAATATGTATTCATTTTTCTAAAACACTCTCTTTTAATCATTTGTATTAAAAATTATTTTTATTGCTAAAACTTCTTTTAATATACACAATCAATAGGATTGTTTAGAAAAGGAATTATAAAATTACGAGATAAGAGAGATAGAAATCTTATATTTAAGACTAAAATAAACTTTTTAAGTAAGAAAAAATTTGTTAAAAATCCCCATTTGACAAATTCAATGGGGAGTGGAACTTGCAATAAATGTCAAGATGTGAACCCGTAAGTGTAAGTAAGTGTAATAAGAAAAAAACTATATTGCCTTTATGAATGCTAATTGCATATGACAGATCTTTATCTACATATCATGGATCCTCAATTGATACAACATATGCTTATTTGTGCATAATTCATTGCATATGAAGGATAATCACTTATATATAAAGGATGCCTACTTGCATACTTGTTTATTGTGTAATACAGATGCTAATTTCATCTAACGAATACTTATTTGCATGAGGGATCCCTACTTGTATATTTGTTCATTATGTAATATGGATGCTAATTTCATATAACATATGCTCACTTGCACATGACAAATACTTACTTGCATATGATGGATCCTTACTTACATACGGGTTTATTGTGTAATATAGATGCTTATTTATATATGATAGATGTTTACTTGCATATGATGGATGCTTACTTGCATGTGATAGATTTCTAACTGCGTATGGGTTTTTACAAAATACGAATAATCATTTGCATATAACAGATGTTCATTTGCATTTAACGAATGCTCATTTGCATATAACTGATACTCATTTGCATGTTGCGGATCCCTACTTGCACATGGGTTCTTATTGCACGTTAATGCTTAATACAAATGCTAATTACATATAATGGATCCTCACTTTGCATATAACATATACTTACCTGCATATAGATTCTTAGGTTATTGCATAGCTTACTTGCTTATAGATTCTTAGGCTATTGCATACTATGATGCTAATTACATATTAAGTGAGTATCCATCACATGCAAGTTAAGATCCGTCATATGCAATTAGCATCTATATTAAGTAATAACATTCAATAAGGATACATATGCAAGTAATTATCAACTATTAGCAAATAAACATCCGTTATATGTAATTAGCATTTGTATTACACAATAAATCTATATGCAAGAAGGCATTCATCATATGTAAGTAAACATTTGTTGTATGAAAATGAACATCTGTAATATACAATTAGTCATATACAAGTGAGAATCCGTCATATGAAAATGAGGATCCATAGTATGCAAGTGAGAATTTGTTATATGCAATTAACATCTGTCATGTCAATAGCCTTTTTATTATCATATTTATTAATACTTGAGGTGCCCACATCTTTACATTTATTGTAGGTCCTATTCTCCAATTAATTTGTCAAATCAGGATTTTTAACCAATTTTTTCTTTAACTAATTCCTATATATTTAAAATAAGAAAGAGTGTACAACGTAGAACACCTCGTCATACTAACTATTACACAAGCTATAAACCACGATTAGTTATATTTGAAACTTTTGTACCTAGTGGTAAAAGTTAACGTTAACTTTCTCTATTCTGAATAGAATATTGAAGTTTGTTATTAAGCTTTCCGTGTTAATGAGTGCATGTTTGGGACAACCTTAAGAATTCTTAAAAGTCAGTTGAGACCCAAACAAAAAACTACTAGAATGAAAAAAAAAATATTTGGCATCATTTTGGAGGCAAATGAGTTTTTGCTCCCCCAAAGTTGTTTTAAAGTTTTTTTCTTGGCCAAAAAAGTTGTTTTAAGGTTGAAGAAACTTTTTTTACTTCTGGCTTTTGATTTTTCTTTATACTACCTCCGGTCCTAATTATAAGAATCAGTTGACTAATTTGAGGAGATTAAGAAGTAAGTTGAATTAGTTATTGGTCCCAAAATAAGTGTTGTCTTTCCTAAAATATCCTTGTTAATCAAACGTATTGACTAGAACTATAATTATTAGAAAGATTATCTTAGAAAAAAATGAGTAAATATGAGAGACAAAGTGAATTGAGGTCTTATATTTAGGACCAAAATAAAAGTCAAACAGGGTCTTATGTTAAGGACTGGATGTAGTATTTAAACATTTTTGAAACTAATTCGTCAGTATATTATCTAAATAAATTTATGGCAAAATGACTTTTTCTGTTTAATAAAAATCTATCTATAAATATAATCATGTCACATTGATTAACTTATAATAAATATTACTTTTGCCTGTTCTTAGGTGGTAATAATAAGTTAAGGAAATGTCTTTCATTAAGACGGCCTTCGCAGGACCTTTTGTTCCAAAGGCTAAACAATCAGTCAGGAAAACCTCCAAACAGTTACATCAAGTGTCATGAACAGTGGAAGCCATATTGAGAACCACTAAAAATGCTTCATACATATCCATCGTGCGTTGTGCTTTTTTGCTTTATCCTTTTATTACTTCCTTTTGCAAAACAGTGTGATTCAGACCTGTGTCTTCAGACGCATGTTTATTGTTATTAAGTGTGGGATTTAAAGACCATGAGAACTTATAAAAAAGAATGAGAATTTGATCTTTAAAGTAATCTTTAAGATTTGAGCTAGTCTCATAAATAAATAAAAAAAGTTATTTTTGAGAAAGTTACTTCTACTTGTGAGGTTGAGTGTGAGACTTGAATTTGAATTTTTATATATATTCAAAATTTCAAAATTACTCTCTATTATTAAGTTCATTATCAAGGTTATTTGGTTAGTTGGAAAGTTGTTTAGTTAATTGGGGAATGCGTAGGAAAATGAAATTTATGAAAAAAAGTTAACTCTTTTGGCAAAACAAAAAAATTTGGCCAAAGCGCAGTCTTTAGTCCTTTAACTTCACATATATAATGTATCATTGTGTTCTCTTAATTTTATAAATTGTTTTTTTAGTTCTCTGATTCTATAGTGCTGTTAACAAATTAAAGATGTTGGCATCAAAATTTTAATTGTTAAATAGAAATAGAAGAAGCATAATCATAAATTACTGTCCTAATAGCACAATTTTAGGCCAATGTCATAATAACACAATTGAGGGGAAAAAAGAATAGCTTTATAGGAACAGAATATTTCTTAATTAATTACTCCTCCGGTCCTAATTATAAGACCCAATTGACTTATTTGAGGAGATTAAGGAAGTAAGTTAAGTTGGTTATTTATAATAAATAAGTGTTGTCATTCCTAAAATATCCTTGCTAATTAAGTATATTGGTTAAAACTATCATTATTAGAAGGATTATCTTGGAAAAAATGCATAAATATAAGAGACAAAATGGATTGGGGTCTTATAATTAGGACCAAATAAAAAGTCAAATGGGGTCTTATAATAAAGACCGGAGGAGTAGCTTGTTTGCCATCTCGCAAAGAAAATATCGGCAAAATGATTTCATTTGCAGCCATTAAAAATCATGGAAGAAGACAAACAAGTTACGTTTGAATAAAAAGCTTTTTGAAGATCAGAAAAGCATATAATGATGCTCAAGAATTTTTCCTTTTCTTTTTGCTTGTCACAACATTATTAGGATCTCTTCTTTGTGGATTTATTAGCCATTTTAATAATGAACTGCTCCATTGCCCTTTTACCTTCAGTCCCTTTCAATGTCTGGTGTAATAAATTCTGCATAGCTTACTTTCCAATCACTGTATTATTGGTAGGTGATGCTTTTCTTCTTTATATATATAATTTCTTTTTTATATTTGCTCCTCTTGTCTACCTAAAATCGGTATTTTAATTCCTTACATTTGTGTTTATTTTTAGCTTTTTTGTCAATTATGTTAGACAAATAAATATATGCCTTACTCCGGCAAAATTTATGTATGTATGTATGTACGTATCGAAGGCTTACATTAATACAGTCTATTTGTAATTATGTGACGCGAATGCATTTTCTGAATCCTTGTTTACATATAACTTCTGAGAAAACTATAAACTCAAGATTATTTGATCATAACACTGATATTCTCAAATTAACCAAAAACTCATTAAGGTTAGCACATGTATATATTCCTTAAACCGCCTAAAAAGGAGAGACTATGCCAACTGATTAGTTTGTTGGGTGAGAAAGTCTCTTAAACTTATAGATCACACTTTACTTATGTAGGTAATCTTCTTCATGAATATCGGCCTCTTAATAAAAGACTTATATTACGAGTATAAATTCAAAAAAAAAGAACCTGTCCCCAAAGACTAACATATTGAATAAAATAATCCTTTGAGCTCATAAACCGTATTTCACCTATGAGACTCCCTGGTATGGGACTCACAACATTACAACAGTCGATCAACCCTAGCTAACTGGATACATGTAAAAGGGATAAATACACAGAATGTTGACCAATAAATTCATGGAACACTAGCTAGAGAAACAACAGTTGAATTTATTATCTTCTTATCATACATGTATCCTTTAAATGCGGAAAGATGTTATCAAGAGAAAGGACACATCAATGATCGACCATTCTTCAAATTAACTAAAACTTTTATCTATGATTTATAGAATTGAAGGATATTGGGTAGAGTCACCTGTAATACAAAAAGTTCTTGTGAATTATTTTGTCTCATGCAATTTGGACTGTAGCCACCTGGAAACCACATTTGCGTGGCCCCAAATAGATAACAAATTAAGATATCACGTCAGAAAGGGAAATACATAGATATATGTATATGTATATGTATATGTAATCAACATTAATGAAATATACGAGAAATGAATTTTATTATAACTTTGAATTACTATTTAGAGAAAAATATGGGACTTACACATACGTGCAAGCATACACATTAATGAGAAACAATCACAAAGGGCACACATATTCTTCAACCTGGTCCCTCCAATCTGATCACTCACAAAGCTTTACGTGCACTCCTCCAATCCTCATGTTCTACACCCAAGCAGCCCAAATTGTGGCTGATCATATGTGTGGGCATATCATGATAGTAAAACCCAACTTGGATTGGCTAATTAAACTAATGAACTAATTCCCTGGCCGGCCCAACCGTGAAGAGATTTGAACAATAGACCGGCCGGGTTGGATTTTATATCTCTCTCTCTTTAGTCAACCTAAAATGACATCATTTTAAGTTAATATAACATGGCAAACTATCATACTTTTACACTAGTAACACAATTTATTAGATTATGTATGGTTTACATATGAATGTTCCATTGACTTATAAATTAATGTCTTTTTGTGTAAATATTACTCTTTAGGGTTGTGTGTGAAAGAGAATTTTTTATATGTTTTACTTAAATTATGTGATTTTAATCACGGCTAAGTTAACTCCAATTAGACCATATTCATCATTGAACCACTGTCTCGACCAGTTTAATTATTAGTCTGGTTTTCAATGCCTTGGGTATGTTTTATAAGCCCGCATATTCAATCCACCAAGATTAACTATAAGGTGTGGTCCTAGTTTTTATAACCTCGCCTTATAATTGCAACGTTAAAGTTTCTCCTAACCCTTCATTATTGTCCAAGGGAAGAAAACCAATTTAACGTCCGAATCACACCAACCGAATTGCAATAAGCTAAGCCTAATGGTTATGCAATCTCTAGGGAATATAAAGAGGAAACGGTGCACAAGAGAATTTATACTGGTTTGGCTTATATGTCAAGCATATATAAATTCAAGTCACTGGAGTTATCTTAGAGATTTTTCATTATAAATAAGAATATTTCAATATATGGACTTTTTCTAAAGCCGCTTACAACCATATAGATTCTTCAAGAGTCATAGCTTAAACGGTTCACTCTTCTTATAAAAGGAGTTTCTTATCCTTGAGAATATTGTCTCACAAAGTGCAGTAAGAATAAAAATATAAAATAGATCTCATAAAAGAGTACAGATTCACATTTGCAGGGCAACTGGATGAGCAAGACTGAACCATTTAGAATGACTGTTTTCCTTTTCTTTTTCTTTCTTTCCTTTCTCCCCCCCCCCCAAAAAAACACCCACAAATAAAAAGAAAAGCCTCTAGATTAATTAATTGATAGGAGGTTTGTATGTATGGGCTTCCACCAAAATAGCCATTAGAAACATCCCCTAAGTAAACTTATTTGAAAAGAGCCATTAAGAGGAATTGAAAACACCAGTGATCTGACTGTGGCAACGATTGTGGATAATCCGATCACTACAAAAAATATATAAAGAAAAGACTTGCGATTACTGATAGAATTTAGCGATAAAATTTTCATTGAGCGATGGAATTACTGACCGGATAAATTAGCAATGAATTAGCCATTAAAAACCCTCAAAACCATAATAACAAGTAGCCCTTAAAATGTGCTGACTGTCTTTAAAAATCACTTCTGCTATATCTTTAGAATAGCGGCAATCCAAGACCCACGGTTATTTAATTAACCACAACTGAAGCTCTCTATGTAGGGAGTGTCAGGATCCCTCAAAAGCACTTTAAAAAAAATATTTTTACATAAATTGAAACAAAACTCTTCATCTTTTCTCATATATTTACTCTAAATTCGGTAAAAATTATTTCTAAAAAGCTAATCCAAACACCCCTATATAAGTAAATCCACCTCCGGTTTTCACCTTTTTCAAAGTTTCCTTTCTTTTTTTCTTTTGCTGATAGGAGCAAGTGGGACATGTGTATTTCACTATCATATTTTTTTTGACTGTGAGAACTGAGAATAAATCTTTGAATTCCTTATAGTGATTTCATTTAATTAATTTTTTTATCAGGATTTCATTTAATTAATTGATTAACTTAAATGATTGCAACAACGTGATAATTGTCCAATAGAATCTTAATTAATAGAGTTAGGTACTAAGGTGTTTTATATCGGCACGCATCCATGAATCATTTTCAAAACTATTCATTGAATGAAGAAAATAAATTTGCATAACATTTTATATTCATCAAATATGTTCATGAACTTTATTGGATAAACCAACGCAACGCTTCACATTCGTATCTGTAGATTATATGACAACGGAATTGTTTGAAGGAAAGGTTTTAGACGCATATGGTTCAATTAAATTCAATTAATTAATTATGTTTACTAATATGGTTGCATCTAATGGAAGGGTTCAGGTCTTTATAACGTGGCGAACTAATGTTTGAATCATTATTGAGAGAAATACTCACATTTAGTATTCTATAGTACTTCGAATATGATTATCTTTAATAGAAGGATACATATGCGTAATCACTGCAAAAAAAAAAAATTGACTTTCAGTGGCGACAAAAAGTCACTGTTGAAAAGTCATTGCTGTAGCAACTGTGGCTGAAAATTTTTAGCAGTGACAAAAAGGTCACTGCTGAAACACACTTTTAGCGGTGATCACTTTTAGAAGTTTAAGTCGCGACATTTATTGCCACTGAAAGATTCTTTTGGCAGTGACCTTCTTGTTGCCACTAAAAGAACTTTCAGTGGTGACAATCTATCGTTGTCAAAAGTGACTTTCAGCAGTGACTTTGTTGTCGCTGTTGAGAGTGATACCCAGGAAAAATTGGCTTTACTGATGCCACATCATCACTGGCCACCTCCACCTCATCACTACCGGGGTGCCACGTCATCATTAGCCACCTCCATGTCGTTGCCACATCACTCCTCCCCGTCTTCACGTCACCGCCCAAATATTTTCACCTTAAATGTGTCTTCTTCAAGGTTCGAACTCATGACCACCTCCTTTCGTATCCAATTTTCTTGTCATTAAGTTGGATTGAATTTGTTTATTACTATTATAAAATAAAATATATATTATTATATTATAATTTCAGCAGTAATATTAGAAAGTCGCCGCTGAAAATGAACCCAGGTCTTATATTCAGCAGCAACTTTTTTTGTAATTGCCTAAATTTTTTTTTGGTAGTGTTGGTACACTTTTTTTCTCCTACTCAAAATCCTTCAGCATTCAATGCCGATAATAATTCAATCAATAGTACATGCACCAAATCGATGTTTTCCTAACCTATTCATTTTATGGCTTTATTTGACGATGATTAGAAGATTTGGCTTGATTTCCCCCCCTCATTTATGGCCAAAAGGACTATTATGGCTGTATGTAATATCACCCATTTTTAGACCATATCAATATTTTGATTCTTCTCAGTTCTCTCACCGCTTCTGGATATAGAAATTAAATTAAAATACCCTTTTAAAAGCTGTAGTACTGTTTATATACGTGTGTATATATATTTCCCAGATGAAGAGCGATTCACAAAGGAGGACCTGAGATCACATATATATCAAATAGAGATGATGGCTAAGATAGAGAAGGTGGCAATTCTAGTGGTGGCTGCTTTAGGAGCAATAATGCTACAAATGACAGAAGCTGAAGATTTCACAGTGGGTGACTCCACAGGATGGATCAATAATCCTCCTGGCGGCGCTTCTTTCTATTCCAACTGGGCAAAGAATTTCACTTTCAAAGTCAACGACACCCTTGGTAGGTTTGTCATCAATCTTGTTCTGGGTCTAATACCTCTCTAATGCCTCTATTTGCAGTTGACCATGTTGAACTGAAAAAGATAAATATTATGGATGAATATATATATATATATATCTTGATGTCCTGATAGAGTTTTAGATTTTAAAGAGTATGTAATATATTTGATCATCTAATTTTAAACAAATTTTTAGTCTAGTCCTTTAATATAATCAAATGAAAAAAATGCTGTTGCAAAGCATAATTTCAATGCTTATGGATTGTATTAAAATATAAAAATTATTATATTAAGGGATTATATAAATTTTCTATCGATTAAGTTTTTCAGCAGGTTTACCTTAATCTTAAAATACAAAAATTATTATATTGGAAGATTAAAATCTAAGCATGGTTTGTGAGCAGTTATAGTTTTGGAATTATCATTTAAACTCGTTGACTCGGCATGTTCCATCAAATGAAAGTGACAAGATTAAAATTAAAGGACTAAAAATATTCCATATGTATAATCTTCAAGGAAAGCTTGATGTAAAATTAAGGCAGGGACCAAGCGTATACTTTAACAGTTTGTCTTTCTATCAAAATAACTTGAACTATCAGGCAAAAAAAAAAAAAAAACTTGAACTAATTTGATAAGACTTGCATCAAGTGTGTGTGCGCCTTTAATTCATTCTCTAATTAGTCATATATATATATATATATATATATATCTTTTCTTATCTGCTATTTTGTTGGGGCAGTGTTCAACTTCCCAACAGGAAGACATGTGGTGGCCATATTGAGTCAGGCAAACTTTGAGAAATGCAACTTCACGAAGCCGATTCAAGTGCTGAGCACAGGACCGGCGAGAGTGGCTCTGAACCGAAGTGGTGAATTCTACTTTGCCTGTGCTTTCACCGGTCACTGTAACAGCGGCCAAAAGCTTAGCGTTAATGTCGTCTCAGCCTCCACTTCTACTTCTCCTTCGCCTGCGCCATCCCCTACCGCCTCACCGCCCTGCCAATAACCATTGTTTCTCTAAATTAATGATATGAGTTTTCTGTGTTGTGGAGTGATAATAATAACATTGCGTTGAAAGAATAAATTAACGATTACGTACGCACACAATTGGTGGATTGGATCCATTTATATTATTTATATAGTTTTTGTATTGACTGTTATTTGTTACAAAAATTGCGCCCGTTGCAGCCATGGCCAAGGTTTTAAGAACGTCTCTCTCTGCATTTTTTTTTTTAAATTTTTGATGAGCACGGATACTTTAATTTTTGACAAGCACAGACATTTTGAATTATATATGTATCCCTCTTGAGGGCATTAAATTAGTGTTTAGTAGCAGTGTTGTTTCAAAATAATTAGTCATATTTCAAAATAATGATTATAATATGAATGTTGAATTATGCATAATAATGATAGAAAATTTATAAATAACTCTAGGGAAAAAAAAACCAAATTCAAGTTACTTATATTTATTATAACAAATTTTTAAATCAAGCATAGTCATGTTTTTTTTTCCTTTGGTTTCATGTGGATTAATTACGGAGGGAGGGTGGTAGTACGTTGTTTTATTTTGGGTAAGAAATGAGAAGGGCCGAAGCCCGGGTCACAATACACTGATGGGGCCTAAACCCTATGAAATCATACAAGGCCTAGTTAAAAACTGGAATTGGGGGAGTGGGGCCCACCTATATACTGTTCTGTCAGTTTTGGGCTTTCTCTTAAACTTTTTTTGGGGGATTAAAAAAGCCACTGGCCCAGCATGGGAGAATGAGCACTTTACAAAAGTATATGTATATACTACGGAGGTTGGATCTGGACTCTAGTAAAATCTAGTAGAAAGAGTTAGTTTCTTACAATATGATAAATTAAGATTCACATGCCTGCTGAAAGAGATGCCTGTATTCAGTGTCCGATAATGTTTCAAATAGAATTGCTTCTAATGAGAATATATCTATGCATAGGGGGGAAAAAACATCATGTATATAATTATTTTTTTAAGTGTCAAATGTAATACTTTTATAATGCATATATATTAATTGTTTTTGGCAACTAAAATACACCGGCATTCCCCTTAGTTTACTTCAATTACGTAAATATCCCTGGCATTTTTAAAACACATATAAATCTCTCCTGAAACAAAGATTTACGAAACATAAACTGCCTGCTATTCTTGAGATTTTAACTCTCATCAACTCAATCATTAATCAATTATTACATAACATATTTTAGGCTAAAATACCCATCTTTAAAAACTATGTTATTGTTTGAAAATCATTGGTAATAATTTTGATGCATATATATATTTTAAAACTTTTTTTATCATATCTTAAATTCTTTAATTATGTGAACTTACTTATTTAGTAATTTTTTAAAAATTTAAATATACAATTCGATTAAGATAATATTTCAAATATACATATGTATGTAAAAAATATTGTCACTAATCTAGTGTTTTGTGGTATTACATGCAATGCAACGTCTCAATTGGAAATGTGAAGCCAGGCTAACGTCATATGTAGAAATAAATTGACAAAAAAACGGTCTTTATCGAAGTGACTTCTGTCTCTGTGTGTGTGTGTAGTATACGTTGGTAAATAATTTTCACAGCGTTGCATTATTAGAATTTTATTTCCCTTTTTATACCATTATTAGCCAATGAATTTTTCTGTGTTTGTGTGTGTGTGTCTCTCTCTATATATATAGGTTGAAAAGTTCTAGAAGTAGAACCTGAATAGCACATAGTCAATGTACAGATGTTTCACGTAAACTAATTTGATTGGTTGCTTTATATTATAGTCATGCTTGATGAAATCATCAATATTGTACTAATCTATTTATGTTTTGTATGGTATTAGCTTGGTAGTATAATAATAATAATAATAATAATAATAATAATAATAATAATAATAATAATACATGCATTTTAGGACTCGTTCAATCTATGGACTTACCTACAACTTCATTGTAATTTAAGGGTGTGTGCTTATATATACACACATAGCACAAGACAAAGCCCTTCCAACCTAAAACATCAGAAACCAATAGAGCCAGCGGCAGGACGACCTGAGATCACATATCACGTTCGTTAGAGATGGCTAAGTTGGCGAACATGGCGATTCTTTTTGTGGCTGCTTTCGCCGCGATTTTCCTCCCCGGCACGGAGGCTGAAGATTTCACGGTGGGCGGCTCCACCGGGTGGACCAATAATCCTTCTGGCGGCGCTTCTTTCTATTCCAATTGGGCTTCAGATTTGACATTCAACGTAAACGATGTTCTTGGTAAAGAAATTCCTCCCTTCACATATATGTTAGGATGTCAAGTGTCAGTGGATTTGATTCGATATTAAAAAAAAAAAGTAAAAATATTTCATGTTTAGAGCTTGGCCGGAAAACATGTAACTTTATTCCTTTGAGTTAAGATGTGGTGTTAAACTCGTCACGAGCGTAAATACACAAGTGTGGATAATTCCTTCTTTCTTATACTCTCTTTTGCTTTTCTCTTTTTGGGCAGTGTTTAACTTTGCCACGGGGAGGCACGATGTAGCCATATTGACTAAAGACAACTTTGACAATTGCAACGTGAATAACCCGATTCAATTGATTAACAACGGACCGGCTAGAGTGACTCTGAACCGAACCGGAGATTTCCACTTTGCTTGTGGTTTCCCAGGTCACTGTAACAGTGGTCAAAAGCTAAGCATTAATGTCTCCGGCTCTTCCTCTCCTACTTCACCGCCGTCTGTGCCCGGAGCTCCGGGATCTTCACCACCCGGCGAAACTCCTCCAGAATCCTCAGCCACCTCTCTGGCTATTACTTTCTCTCTTCTTCTCGCTACTAGTTGTCTGAACTTGTTCCTTCATTTCTAGATACATATATATAGATATAGTGATTATTACAGGGAGATTTTGGTTAATTTTCTGTGTATTATTCATACTGTTGGGGGTTCATTTTGCATTGGTGGAATTTAGTTTATGTGTTATTTTGATTAGTTATGGTTCAGATGTATTGGGTTTATTGCTGAACTAGTTTGTTTTTCTTGGTTTGGTGTATATTAAGATATATTATTATTGCGTTGATGGAATAAACGATTATATACATTGTTGTGGAGTAGGTCAATTTTGAGTTTATTTTTCCCATTTATTTATTAGTTATTAAAAATTGTGTTGACTAAATTAATAAACCAAAGTTGAATTTTGGTGATTTGAAGAGAAATTAATATATAGGCCACGTATGTAATGTGCATGTCAAGTTCATAGAGGTGCTATGACTTTTTAAAGTCATGGGTTTCTTTCAATGTTAACACATTGCATGGCACATACATAAAATATGCATTAGGATGGCGTAACACATATTATAAAAAATAAGACTACGTAAATCAGGTTAGTTAAGGCTTTTGTGACGTTGAATAGTAATGTCTTTAATAATTAAAAAAATTAATGGGAGAAGTGCAGCAAAATCCAATATATATATAATTATTAAAAAGTCCTAATAACAATTGAGTATCCTGTAATCACAAGTTTCAGAGTTAAAAATAACAACTTCTAATTTATTATTAGGATTTCTTAGTAATTATGTTCCTTCTCTGGGACATAATTGTAATTTCTGAAAAATTAATTCATCAATCATAATTTCACTAAATTCTTAATTAATTTTTCTTTTTGGCCAAAAAACAGTCTTTCATTACATATTTATAGTTTTCTCAATTATAAGCATCACTGACTATACTCGTAAGTTGCCACAACATACGAAGTAAAAAGTAAAAAAAAGAAAGTAAAATGATGTTTTCTTAAAAAAATAGAATGATGAAATAAATTTATTTATTATCAACATAAAAAATAAAAAAATTATGTCTTGACTGTCTTCTTATATCTATATATAATTTTTAATCTGGTTGATTTTGATTTTATTTTTTTAAGATTGAGATTTTTATTTTATTTTTTCGAGTGAGATTTTGATTTTATTTAGATGATTGGGCAAAATTAATCTAAGTGCTCCTTGAGTGAGAGTTACATCAATAATTATTAATACTGTTTTTCCAGCACGATTATCAATGTTGTTTTCTTTAGAAATTAAAAAATTATAAATATAAGAACTAATTAGTATCTATAGTTGTGGAAATTATAAGGACCCAATAAAAAATTATAAGAACTTAATTGAAAAAATGAAATTAGAAAGACTTACACATAAATTTCCTCTAATAATTATATTGGTTATTGAACTATTCAAGATATTGGTTCAAAATTCACCCAGGTCAATCTATTATTAAACTCAACTAATCACAATTTTTTTGATAAAAACCTAATCAAAATTAAATTAATATGTTTTTAATTTTTATATATTAAAATATTACAAAAAAAAAGAAAACAATAATATTGAGATGGAATCCAACAAAATTAAGGAAAATCTGTAAAATATAATATTAAGACAGAAAATATATTCGATAATGGAAGAGTTTTTAAATTAAGAATATTAAAAATTTACAAAGTGGACACACCAATTTAGAAGTTAATAAAAGCCAATTAAAATTAGTATATCCAATAAGAAGAATAAACAAAATCAAATAAAAATTAATACTCACATTTAATATTCGATAGTAGTTCCTCGAATAGGATTGATTCTAATAAGAGGAACCTATGCCTAAAAAAAATTAAATAAATGTATGTGATTTAATAGTGAATTGACAATTAGATGGACGGTTTATATGGATTTTAAAAATAAAAAGAAAGTCTGCAAAATGAAAGAATATTAGTATATTTTTACTTTTATAAACTGGAACGATACAGAAATATATATATTTTATGATTTGTACAATGACTTGTAAAGATTTTTTTTTTATTTCTTGCACGTCATGCAACAAATTTAAATTTGAATATATTAAATTAAAGTAATATCTTTTTAAAAAGAGAATGAATAAATAGTAAAAAAATAATAATAAAGAAACAAGAAGAGTTGGTGGATGAACATGAGGACACCGGTGGAGGGGAGATCTGCGAACGCCAGATGCCGGGGGGTGTTGGAGTGGTTGAGAAAAACTCCACATATGATATAAAATTTTTCCCAAAACAAAGTCTCAGTTGGCTAGTACTTAAAAATGACAGGAAAGAAATTGAGACCTAATTTAAAATTTTAAAAATGTTGTGAAATTATCCATATACTATTTTGTGATAAATGTTATGAAATTTGTCATTTTCAATTCAATACTTATTATTTTTATTTTTCAGTTTACAACTTCTTAATTTACTAATTAAAATAATGGAGAAAAAGAGGAAAATGACAAAAAATTGTAAAAATTACAAAGTCTCAAATCGGTATTCTTCCAAAAATTTGTTGTTATTTGAAAGTCAAGTGTTATCAAAACCTATTAAAGTATTATAACAAATTGTGATTTGAGATTTAATAATTTTCAAAATCATTATTTGTCATTCTCTAAAAAAAAAAGTTATGAAACTTATTATTTCCAACTCAATATTTGTCATTACTAGTTCAATACTTGTCATTTCTAGTTTTATTAATGTCAGTTATGTCACAAAATGTAATACAGGTAATTTCACAATGTTTTCAAAATATCAGTTCAAACTTCACTTTCTTCCCTGTCATTTTCAAATGTTAGCTATCTAAAAGGAAATTTCATATATTCGGCATGTATTTTATTTTAGAAATTTATCCTAATTTTTTTAACAAATTGTACACTCTTGCTCTTTAAAGGTCAGTGGAAGAATTTATTTTAATTTTAAATGTAAGATCAACTTTATCTTTTAAATTTATAATTTGTTTTAAATTATTCTTATTAATTGCATATATAATATGTTAATAATATATTAAAGAGGACTTTTATCAATGCATGTAATGATTAAAAAGTTATCTAAGAAAACCAGCACACTTTTATTATGAACAATTAACTTGATAAATTTTAGGGTTAAGTTACAAATTTATCCAGTAATGTTACTTTAGAAGTTTTTTTCGGTTTAAGATCACCCTAGAGGTGTTAATATGAAACAATATCATCCCGTTAAAAATATTGAAGCTTAATGTCAATTTTTTGAACCGTCAACATTAATATTTTAATGAAGTGGGGCAGCATTATTATGTTTTTAAATTTCTAAGGTAATAGTAAGCTAAAAAAACTTTTGGGGCAACATAAAATTTTCAGATTAAATTTACACCTTAATCATAAACTTTATTAACATCAATAAATTATATATCTAATTTATTAAACATTTCAAATTGGAGAGTGAGTATTTTTTTAATAGAATAATTAATCTCATTGTTCGGACTCCATGAAACGCACCTAAACAAGTTGGAATGAAAAAGAATTGAACATTTCATAGGTGGGAACAAATTAATAATATAGCGCAGTGCACATTTTCTCAAGTCATGTGACACATGGAGTGATTTACAAGAGAAGTGGCGTGGATTTGTTCAAAAAAGCGCAACATTTTAGATTTAAGTACTAAAAAAATTTGCGGGCCCTTCTCCTATGATCTGTTCCCAGTCTTTCGGGTTAATCAATTTCAGCCGGTGTCGTCGGTTTTGGATGGCCATTTTTTAAAGGTTAATTTCGGCCGAATTGTGAATGAATCAAACTATACAATTAGGCTAACAAAAATTAGTCCAGCTGTTAAGGAGTCTGTTCATAACCATGAGGTCGTGACTTCAAATCTTATTATCGATGTGAGGATCTTATTAATGGGTAATCTGTAAGTATTTCTGTAAGTGCTTTCTGCCTGAAAGTATACCTTATCCCTGGTGAGTTCTGGGAACTAACTCGCTTAAACTTTTTTATATTTAAAATCGAGTTGACCGGATCCTATTCAATTTTAATTAGGAATTATTACTCATAAGTTCCAACTAAAAAATAAATATAAATAGGTTCCTTGAATTACGTTGAATATTAATAGGTAATAAAATACTGAATATTTATTAGTTTAAATTATAAATGACAAGTATACAAGTTTGACTTCTAAACATTAGTTTGTAAATTTGACTCGTAAGTTGTAAATGATGAATGAAACTCAGCTTGACCTATTAATGTTAAATGAAATTTAAAAAAGGTATATTTATATGTAAATTTTTTATAATGTGACTTATGGGCAATTTTCTCTTTTAGGTGCATCGACGAAAGCCTGAATGGCTCATCTGCAATCTTAGGTAGCAGTGAAAGTAGGCTATCAATAGGATTAGAATCCAGTAAAAGATGTTAATTTTTCACAACAATGAATTAAAATTCAAATTTTAGTTGGCAGAAGTGTTTACATTTAGTGTCTCATAGTGCCTTGAATAAAATTATCTGTATTAAGAAGATATTTGTGCTTAACAAAAAAAAGAAAGAAAAGAAAAAGAAAGTAGGCTAGACCTCTATCAAGAGCTTATAATCTAGTTTTAAGCCTAACTGAGCCTATTTAGTAAATAGGTCAAGCTCAAACTTAAACATACAGACTTGGCCTACTTAGTTTTTTTTTTTTAAAAAAATTTATATTATTACATATAATATAAATTATTTATAAAATTACTAATTTAGCCTTAACCCTAAATTTCACATCTTGTCATACGCACAAACTCTTTCATTCACCAACCATTCACCTCTCTCTTTTTGTTCTCTTTGATATTTTTTTCTTCCGTAACTTGCATCTTTTGCTTAAAGCATAATAGTTGTTATAAGTTTATTTTAGTGACGTCCAAATGAATTATTATGATCTTATTATGAATAGTTTGTCGTTTCAATTTCTATCAGAACAATAAAAGAGATAAAATATAGTTTTACACATTACTTGTTGTGAATATGCTTGTTAACATTAATTACTTGATTCATTTTGTAGGAGTCATCTAATGAAGAAGAAATTATATTGAATTCCAAGATTATTGATACGATCATGATGTAATATTGTGCCGTAATGAGTTTTGATGAGATATTATAATAAGTGAAATTTTGTTATTTTATTGTAAATTTAAATTAACTTTATTTAAATAATTAAATTCTGTAATAAGTTGAAAAAAATAATTTTAAGACAATATTGATAAAATTTAACTTTTTTATTTTGATAATACGTGCCAAAAGTGATTTTTGAATAAGATTAGAGAAGTACTAGGACCAATAATGATTGGTAGATATTTTG